CAGTTTTTAAGGTCCCTTCCCAGCCAAACCATTCTGGAATTCTGTGAGAAGGACTAAACCACTGCATCACTAATTTTACTGAGCTCAGCCTCAGTTCCTGTCTCTGGTCAGTAAGTTCAGGTATTAGGGGGCTCAGTCAGGTTTCCTTTGTTTTTCACATCATGAATGTCCTTCCTTGTTTTGGCCTAACAGTGAAGGCTGGTGCTTTGCTGCAGCATGGCAGTCCTTGTTTTTCACTGCAGTTAACTCTTGCTTTGTGCTGAAATTCCACTGTGAGCTGTACTTTAACATCTGTGCCATGAAATGAAACAATTCAGTCTGTGAAGTGATGAGATGAGAAAGGAGAGTGAGTAAAGCACCTTGTGTGCAGTGGATGGGTATGTGTAATGTGTAAAATGGAACTTCTCTTCTGAGGGAAGCAGGCAAGATTGAATCTTTGTCCTTGTTTATTCTAATTGAACAGCCAAAAATATGAATTTTAAGGGGTTCCCTTAGAGACTGTTTTAGCCTGGTATAAGGGGTAGGCTAAGAGCTGGTGGTGAGATGCAAGGGCAGTTTGAGCTGCTTCAGTGGAAATCCCAGCTGTTAAAAGTTTCTGCTAAAAATAAAAACCTTGGTAAACCAGAGTCAGTGGAAAGGATGTGAAAACCCTCCTACCTCTCCAGCAGAGGAAATGGACCAGGATGACAGGCAGAGGCACAAACATGTTTTCTATGAATTGAAGGGGTTTTACCCTGTTACCTTAATTCACCACAGCAATGTTTGTTTGTGTGTTTTCAGATTTCTTTACTCAGACGAAGTTCAGATCGGACCAGAGACTGTTATGACAACACTTTACACAGCTAAGAAATATGCAGTTCCAGCCCTTGAAGCTCATTGTGTGGAGTTTCTTAAAAAAAACCTCAGAGCAGACAATGCATTCATGCTATTAACTCAGGTGAGTTTGTGATCATCTGCCTTCAGCAAGGTCCAGCACAGGCAGAAAATGGGAATTTTCTGGGTGTTCCAGAGTTGATCATCCAAGGTGGAGCAGCTCTGGGTTGCTTTGAGTTCTTCCTCACAGGAGTCCAGCACTGCTGAGCAGGTTCTTGCAAAGAATTATACACAGCAAATGTTGCTGCTGTTTCAGATCTTTCTGTTTCACTGTGGCAGGTGGTTCCTTCCAGAGTGTGAGCTGGGGATGGAGTTATCAGGGTGGAAAGATTTCATCTGCCAAGAAGAAAAGTGGAATGAGAGGATTTCCGTGTGTTACAGAATCAGGACTGGTAATGCTGAGCTTTCTCTCAGTGCTGTGTCTGGCTGCTCAGCCATTCCTTGAAGGACTTTTGTGCAATACTTTTCCTGAAGTGGGGGTGAAAGGAAACCTTTTGTCATGAGTGCTTTGGTTTATTTTCCTGGGAGAGGAGCAAGGTGCTGTCTTCCTCAGCTCCACCTCCTGCACTGAAGGCTCACAGACCCAGAGTGTCAGAGCAGCTCTTTCTTGGCTCTGGGTTTGATCCAGTCTCTGAGGGTTGGGCTCCTCCACCTTCCACTTGACTCTTGAAGCAGCAAAGTAGGAGACAGTGTTTACAACTTCTGCTTACTTTGGAAAAAATCAGACTTTGCGTGCAGGTTGATTCAATGAGCATCACTCATCCCCATTTCCCAGCCCTGTCTTCTCTCTCTCAGACAGCTGATGCCATGTTGGTGCCATCCACAGTGCTGTCATCTGTGTGGTGGAGTCTGGCACTGCCAGGGACACCCAGTTCTGGGTGCTGTAGGAATAAGAAACACACAGGCTTTGTGTGTGACTGCCTTTCCTTCAGGGGATGGGCAGGCTGGAGTGGCCCTGGAGGATATTTCTGAGCAGCCAGCTCAGGAAAGCTGCTGTGGTGTCTGATGTTAAACAGAGCTTGCAGAGGAGCTTCCCAGCTGCACTGAGGTGGGAACCAGCACACCAAGGTGCTCTGAGGGATTTCCTGTCTCACCCAGCATTCCTGGATCTTTCCCCTCATGAGCAGTGCAGGTGTCTGAGGCTCTGGCTGTGGGCACCATGTGGGTGGCAGTGGCTGCACCAGCAGTTGTGCAGGTCTTGAAGCAGTGCTGCCCTGAAGCACTCACTGCTGGGCTCTTTGCTCAGGAGTAGGCTGGCTTTTTTTTTTGTTTTTAGTTTAAATATTTGGATCAGTTCTCAAAGTAGTTCCATGTCTCACTGCTGTTTGTAGTCACTTGTCACTGCTTAGGTTCAGCTACTGCTGCAACACTCCATGGCCTTCTTCACCCATCATCTTTAACCTGGCCCTTTTGCAGTGCCATGAACATGAGGCAGCCCCTGAGACAGGGAGGGATCCACACTGCCCTTCCAGAGGCACATCCAGGACTTGAAGGCTCTTGACTGGGCAATGGCAGCCAAATCTGTTCCCATCTGATGCATGGTGGGATAATTGCAGTTTCTTCACTGCAGCTTTCCCCTTCTTTGGGTTCAGCATTGCAATCTGAAAGATCAGGAGTTGTTAGCCAGGAGCTGAGAACAGATCTTTCCCATAGACTGAAGTTTTGGGGAGGAATCTTTGGCTACCATTGCCTCATGATGGGTTAGAGGTGTTGGCTTTTGGTGGTATTCCTCATGCAGAGATTTTTTGTGGCTTCCTGTATCTCTACACTTGAGTTTGTAGCTTTGGCAAGGGAATATTTAAGTTTGTGGTGACTTCCTTCCAGGTCACAAAGGTCCTTGTTTGGCAAAGGAGGAAGATACCCTTGTGTTCCAGGTGCCAAAAACAAAATACTGCCTGGCACTCTATCAGTGGCACTGAGGCAGGTGAAATGCCAGATGGGGAAAGGCTTTCCTGATGCCTTTTGCCTGTGGCTTGTTCATTCTGTATGATCATCAGTGATGATTCCCATCTAGTTTGATGTTCACTATTTCTCTGTATCAAGTCTGAGATGTTTGAGGCAGGTCTTGCTTGAGAACCGTGCCTGATCTTGGTGACTGGCTGCACCTCACTGAAAGGATCTCTTCTCACAGCCCTCTTGTTCCTGGTCCTGCAGTGTGAACACCTACCTGTCTGCTTTCACTGCCTCAAACCAGCCCCCTCTTCAGTAAATTACAGACCTGAGATGTATCTTGTACAAGACATTGCCCAATACTCTTAAGATCATGGAGCTGAGATCCCTGGTAGAGCCCTAAACCTCCTTTTGTGTGTGCCTGCCCAATCTGCTGGTCCAGCAGCTGTGTCACTCTGTCTCAAGCAACTGCTGATCAGTGGCAGAAATATCAGAGGCAAACAGCTTTCCTAATTGATTGTGCTTCTCAGTGAGCCCTGATCCTCTTTCATGCCAGACACACATCCAAGTGTCACTTTGATCAGCAGGGAAATAAAGCTTGCCTGGAGCTGCTGTGGGGGAGAGCTCTGGGAGTGTAACTGGAGCCCTCACGTGTCCAAAGAGCCACTCCAGTAGTAAAGTCTGAGTCAGTCACAGCTCTTGGTGCCAAGAGTGTAAAGGCACTGGCAGCCCTCCAGCCCCTGGAGCAGGTGACAACTGCTGAAGTTTCCCTGGGCCCTGAGAAATTGTTGTTTCAGCTTCCTGCACTTGAGGTCTCAGCACAAAGATTGGCCTTGCTGAGCTCTGCGTGCCACGAGTGGGGGTGAAGCAGAAGATGCTGGAAGGCACCTCCTGAGTGATGGAATTCCCAGTCCAAAACAAGAATTTTAAACCTTACTGGTGGCAGCGAGTTCAAGTCTGGTGTGTTCTTGTTAGGTGTGAATCAAGGCACTTCCTTCCTAAACAACAAAACCAAAGCACTGAAGTAAGAGATCATTTAGTGTTTTTTGTGTGTTCCACCCATTTCTGCTTATGCTGGGCACAGGGCTGCTAACACATGGCAGTCCAGGGTGATCTGAAGTGGCAGCAAAATTGTTACAAGACTTCACTTAAGTTGGGCAGAGAAATTCTGAGCAGCTCTCCAGGCTGTGTAAGGCTTTTCTTGGAATAGTAACCTATTTTGGGACAAATTCTTTAAGGGAACTGGAGTAGAGTAGCTGTTTCTGTGCAAAACATGGAAATGCACTGAGCAGGCTGTGTACCCTGCAGGGCTCCCCAGGACACCCAGGCACTGCTGCTGCAGCTTTTTCCTGCTAATGCACAACATCAGTGTGGCTGTTCTTACAGAATAAGCTGCCTCTGCATTATTCCTAGAGCAAGCAGGCCTGGAGTCACCGGGCAAAGCTTTCTTGTAAATAAAAAAATGAAGTCAAAATTGCCTGTGCTCAGCTGACAGGGTCAGTGTGGTGCTGCAGAGCACCCAGGCTGCGTTAGAACAAAGACGTGCCTGAAGACATGCACAGCTGAACCAGGGCTGCTGCCAAACACAGAATTTTCTAGTGTTTGCCTTGTCATGCTTAACTGCTTGTGAAAGGCCCAGTGGATTCCTGGTGCAGTCAGGCATGGTATTGCTAATGAAGATGGGCTGTGGGAGGGGAAGGGGGGTTCTTAGAGTAAACTTTGAAATACCTTTTCTGTTAATGCTGCTCTTTCCTGCCTAGGCCCGGCTGTTTGATGAGCCCCAGCTGGCCAGCCTGTGCCTGGAGAACATAGACAAGAACACCTCAGATGCCCTCAATGCAGAGGGGTTTACAGACATTGACCTGGGTAAGCTCTTTTCCACCCCTCCCTCTCTCTCTCCCTGCTTTCATAACCAGCTTGTCTCCAAAGTTGTTACAGGTTAATAATGCTTGGCACTTGTGGCTTGGCTGTTCTGGAGCAATCAGTTGAACAGTCTCTGGCACAGAGTGGCTGGAAACAGGGAATTTGCCAAAGAGTTTGCTGCCTTGCCTGCAGAAATCCCCTGGAATCTGCTTACTTTGGTGCAGCTTGAGTTTTCTGGGCATGACACAAAGCCTGCTTCCTGTGTTGATGTTGGCAGGTTTTGGGTGGGTGTAAACTTGCCTTTTTTTGTAGAGTTGGCTTTCTTCCCCAAGTCTTTGTCAGGTTTTGGAGTTGAAAAGGTGTTGTGTTTTTGGAAGCAAGGACTGGCTATTTTAATTACCGTCTGCAGTTTCCAAACTTGCTGGGCACAGTTAATGAGCATTAAAATTCAGGCTTTAACCTTCTGCTAATGAGATGGGCTGTGGAGGTAAGGCACGGGTCACCTTCTGGCTTCCACGCTGCTTGTTTCATCCAAATTTGACGTCAAGCAAGTTGCAATTCATCCTCCTGCACTTGCATTAACACGCCAACGAAATGGGCTCTGTTTGCTGCTCCAGTGAGCTCCTTGCTGATGGAATATTCAGATAAATCTCCCTCAGAGGCTGCAGGCAGCACTTTTGGGCGATGCTGTCGGTTCAGCATCCCCTTGGCCGCGCACAGGGCGCTCCTGGCGAGGTGCAGGGGGCTGGTTTGGGGTTGAGAGGCTGAAGCTGTGCCTGTTGTGGTGCCCTGCAGACACGCTGGTGGCAGTGCTGGAGAGGGACACGCTGGGGATCCGGGAGGTTCGCCTGTTCAACGCCGTGGTGCGCTGGTCCGAGGCCGAGTGTCAGCGGCAGCAGCTCCAGGTGATTCCAGAGAACAAGCGCAAGGTTCTGGGCAAAGCTCTCTCCCTTATCCGCTTCCCACTGATGACTATTGAGGAGTTTGCAGCAGGTAACTCAACAAAGGTGTTCTGGCAATCCTGGTCCTTGCTTTCCCTCAGCTACAGAGTCACACAAAAGGGAGTTTTCTCTGTGTATGATGTAGTCATTTACAAATGGGATTCCCCCCACATTCCTCCCCATTTTCCCCCTGAAATGCTGGAAAGGCTTCCCACTGATGACTATTGAGGAGTTGGCAGCAGGTAACTCAACAAAAGTGTTCTGGCAATTCTCATCTTTGCTTTCCCTCAGCTACAGTCTCACAAAAGGGAGTTTTCTCTGTGGATGCTGTAGTGATTTAAATATGGGATTCCCCCCACATTCCTCCCCATTTTCCCTCATTCTCCCCCTAAAATGCTGGAAAGGCTCCCCACTGATGACTATTGAGGAATTTGCAGCAGGTAACTCAGCAAAGGTGTTCTGGCAATCCTGGTCCTTGCTTTCCCTCAGCTGCAGAGTCTCACAAAAGGGAGTTTTCTCTGTGTATGATGTAGTGATTTACAAATGGGATTCCCCCCACATTCCTGCTAATTTTCCCCCTAAAAGGTTGGAAGGGCTTCCCCACTGATGACTGTTGAGGAATTTGCAGCAGGTAACTCAACAAAGGTGTTCTGGCAATCCTGGTCCTTGCTTTCCCTCAGCTACAGAGTCACACCAAAGAGGGTTTTCTCTGTGGATGATGTAGTGATTTACAAATGGGATTCCCCCCACATTCCTGCTCATTTTCCCTCATTTTCCCCCTAAAATGCTGGAAGGGCTTCCCCACTGATGACTCTTGAGAAGTTTCCAGCAGGTAACTCAGCAAAGGTGTTCTGGCAATCCTGGTCTTTGCTTTCCCTCAGCTACAGAGAAAGTCACACCAAAGAGGATTTTCTCTGTGGATGCTGTAGTGATTTAAATATGGAATTCCTCCCATATTC